TTATCACTATACTCACATGCCTATCCCTTTGTCTTCTACAATTTGCAGAGAATAAAGATCCTTCTTCTATCCTTTTATCAATCATCTTCAAAGTATCCGCCCATCATTGACCATCGTTCACCCCGAAGTTGATTTCACTTTCTACCTATAAACTTTATGTACATGTAAATTTTCTTTTTGATTTAATAAAAGAAAATTTATTTGATATACAGTAGTATATTTTAATTTACATAAATATGTCTATCTTGATGTTATCATATTCAGGATTTAGGGTTTATGTTTAGAATTTTAGAGGAAAAATATTTGATACGTATGTAAAATTTAGTTTACATAACATGCCTATTTTAATATCATTTGTTATATTTAGAGTTCAAGTATAAATTATACATAACTTGTATATCAAATAATTGTTTCAAGGGCAAACAACGTATTTAGTCATTCAATTATTTGTGTTGTTCTTTTTGGTTATCCAATTATTTTTTTTAAAATCATATCTAACGTTAAGTTTTAGTTTTATTTTAACGTTAAGTTTTAGTTTTATTTTAATCATCTGTCATTAAAAATTAATAGAATTGTTCACATGTCAACTTTTTATTTTTTTCAATGATTATGTGATATTATCTTTTGGTGATATATCAATATCACGATTAATCTTTTCAACGGCGAGTGATCAAAATAGTATTACAACCCTACTTTTAATGATGTATTTCAAATCATTTATTTTTTTCCAGCAACATGAACATCGTCCTCGATGCCGAGAATCACAGCGTGCGGCCCATGGGGACCGAGCTGTGAGGCCCATGGGGACCGGGGACAATGGCCTCCTTCACTTTCAGATGTTCATCAACATGAACAAGGTCTGTTTCTTCAACCTTCTTCTCTCTCGAGGGAACAATAGAGAGCGACCACGTCGCATGCAAGGAGGAAAAAGCCACCACATGAGCTAAACGCGAGGATTACAACCGTATTGTTAATTAATGAGGCCATTACAATGTCAGAAGATGATGCTATGGAAGTTGATGTTGAATGTATATCATGCTAAGACAATCATAAACAAATCTATGGAATTTTTATTCATGTTTTGTCACAATGAGTTCACAGTAAGTATTCTTATTCAACTTGATACGAGGGGGGGGGCAGATGGCGAAGTGAAAGGATTGCATGATCTTATTCACTGTAGGGTTATTCCATTCCATTCTTGGAGAGCATCATTCATAGGAGAATTTCATTCCATGTATCAGGAACTCCAGGTAAACACCAATGGCTGCAATCTGCTACCGACCGATTATCGCTCCAGGTCCCCAAATGAGCATCACTACGGAAGGCCCCCGTGGGGGTTACATGTAATACCGTCGCAGGAGTCTTCATTTTCTTTACGACATCTATTATAATGTCAGAAATTCGGCTACTGTCTTTCCCTTTAGTTTTCAGCCAAGGGCGTCGAGTCACTTTGCAGGAATTACGGTTTCGACCTCTGGTACAAGCAACAGGGATTACCATTAGTTACTATCTGCAACAAGGCACACTGCTTAAAAAATCTAGACAAGATGCATGGATTAGAAACAAGAGAAGAAGAGCTTCTTGGTTGGACAGTTTTGAATATTAGACTGCTTTTTTTTGGTTCGGAGGCAGAAGACACTTGATCAACCTCGCTACCCTACAAATACTCATTGGACCTCGCCACTTTGAGTGGGGAAGTCAGCCCCATTTTGATTAGTTCATGCTTGTTTTGAAAAATGATCTTCCACTTCATCTTCATCAATTGAGTTTTAATTTCTGGGGTTTGCCTTCATATCAACTGACATAGTAAGTATCATGGTATTTCATTTTCAGGACTCCAAGTACTAAAAGCCAATGAACTTCATGCTTCAGTAGCTTGTGAACTAAAATCTGCATTTCCATGGCTGAAAGTGGGAAAAAGGCATGATATTCACCAGCTTTTGTCTTATTAGTAGATAAACCATGCAAAATTCAGGTATCTTAACCCAACTCCTCAGATTACCAACCAAATCATTCTATTCCATGGAAACAGAGAATGACCTCGCTGCCCACACCCGGAAAGGTCAAGGCAAAAAAGCTGTCCTCATCACTCACAGGTGGCGAGGTCAGCCCCAAAAATCCCTCACAGCCTCACCACCCCTACACCACTAGGTCCTCCTATACCCGGAAATAAGCATAAATCAGTAATTCTCAAGCATCCGTACGTTACTCTGACTTGAATGTTAGTGTTGAATACGACATGTGCATGTTCAAGTACCCACATTGGATATATGCCAGATACCATACAGACATTCCACATAACACAACTATACAAGTAGCAACATGATATTAAACGATTTCAAGATAACTCCTAGCTTAACAAATTTTCCACAACAGTTCAGTGACCTATAGAAAGATTAGTATTAAAAGGAAATTGGTAGAAAGTAGAATGGCTTACATCCAATGCGAAGATTCAAAAGTCCGGAAGAACACCTTAGTTCTGTTTCCATTGACTGAAGTCTCAACCCAAGATGCCCAAATCTTTAATGCAGCTCTAATGGCAGTTGTGATCCCCATTCCAAGCTTTAGTGATTGACCTGCCTGAAAATAGCAACCCCCTGTCCAGGAAATCCTGTTAGGAAATCTCTATATAAAAAAGAATCACGCATGCGGAGTTAGTCCTAAAAGCGGAAGGCGTGCAGCTTCACATCAGTAAGCATGATTCATAGATCGTAGAACATCAATAGATGCAAGTAAACCTTTGTGAAACTCAATGAACTAAAAATGCAAACCAAACTTTAACCGGAAAATTTATGTCAACTACACCAAAAGAAACCAAATAAGCAGTACTTACATATCGAAAAGCTAGTTGGTGTCCACCAATGACCTGAATTGAATATCAGAAATCAGAAGCAATCCACTCCTTGCTCATATCATCCAGCTTGTCAAGTCTAATCGTCGATTTAACCCTCTTAGGCATACGCCTTGGTGCTGAACCAGGCTGCACTAGGAAAACCAACCGATAATAGTCGATACGTAAACTGTATGAACTGAACCACACCCCTAAAAACCTAATTCGTTTATTGATCTTATTTCCATTAATTTCATAGACATCCCTCCTCTTATCCTGCACGCCTTGCATGAGCATGCATATCATAGACTCCCACTGTGTTCTGCTCAATGAATCCCCAACGAAAACAATCCGCTTCCCACGACAGCCTTGAGTTAACTAGCGCTGTAGGGGTTTCGCTTAGAATATTGGCAGCTTTACTGGTTGTAACGTCTTTCTCCATGTTTCCTGTCTGTTTGGCCTTAGGGTTTTTCCTTTGACTCGTATCGTAAAAAATCAATCACAATGATTAAAAGAGGGGTGTACTTCCCAAGTCATCTATCTTAGTATTACTCTCGTCTAAATATATTTAATTACGGAGTTCTAATAAGATTTGGTATATTAGTGTTGGTATTAGTGTTGGTACTATCACACTCACATTTATACTATTTTTTATTTTATACTTTGAGTTCTGTGTATTTTCCCAGGTGAGTTAACTGACATTAAATTGAATTAAACACTTAAAAAATATAGAATTTTGTAACACTCGATCACGAGTAAAAAATTAAATTTATATTATTTTAATAATAATATTGTAAAATAGATTTTATTGATAAAAAATAAATTATTATTATTATAAATGTATTTTATACATCAGTCTTCTTTTCATTAACTAGAATATCAAATTCAATTAGATATTTTTTACTCCAGGATTACAACTTATATGAGTACTCTGTATCTAAACATATCTTGCAAACGTAGTTATTTAAATTCAAAATTTTTAAGAAGATTAATACTCCTTTAACCAGGAGATTGTTTGATGAGTTAAATTCAAATTATTACAAAGAGGAAAAGGATTTTGGAAATATGTACCACTGCAAAGAGGAAAGAAACATTTTATGAAATATACATAAAATATGGTTGAATGAGTCTGAACCTCTTGGAGTAAATATTTTTCTATGATCACTTCATCAGATGATGGGGCCGAAGGAAGTTGTGAAACCGGAGAAAAAAAGTCGACGATCACTGCCATTTGAGCAGAAAATGTTGATAATCGACCAATGACCTCCTCTAACAACATTTTTTTATCATTTAAAGAAGAAGAGATTGAATCCAGATATGTGCAAAACTGTAGATGGCAAGGAAAGCACCAATGACAATGGGAATGGAGAAGGAAATAAATGGTGTATATTGAGAGCTAAACAAGAATGAGATGAGAATTACAACAGATAAAAGATCACCAGATTCAGAAATCAAATAAAACTACAAGTTCATGGTATGAGCTTCAAATAACAGAAGGAAACTAACCTGCAAACTGAGCTGATATTGATCAAGAGAAAGAGGTTTCCAAGTTCCGATTCAATGAAATCTCTCACCATTTGAGCCATCTATTCCTCTCCTAAACTACCCATGAGTCGACTTATCTTTCCATTCGCAAAAGTCTTAGGCTCTATGTTTTCTTGTGTGTGTGTATATATACCATGGGAAAGCTTCACTTAAAATTCTCCAATGTCATAGAAAATTGGAGAGAAAAAAATGTTGAAAAAATGTTTTCCTATATGATCATTAATAAATACTTTTCCAATAGTATTAGATATATAATCCATCATCTATGTCATCATGTTTACATCCTCTCAATTCTTAGCTGTTGCAGGTCAAAGAGTATAGATCTTAAATGTCAGATGTACTTGTATGTGTAGTTTGAATATATTAATATAAAACAGAAAATAATTCAAACAAATAAAACTTGTAATTTCCGTTCATTATTATTCCATGTGTATAAAGTATATATACAAGAGTGAAATAGAAGTGCTGTTTAGGGAATCTTCTGTGTATTAGATGTCTATATACATTAGACAAAGCATCCACTATAACTTAAACACTATTTACACATGTATTTGCAGCAAAAGAAAGATAGGGTTGGAGAACACTACAGGTTAAAAAGAAACCAAACTCCATCTGTTTCTTCTTCCCTTCTTGATCCCCATATATTCTCCTCAGGTAGACTTCAACCGGTCCAGTCGATAAGCTCCCTGCGAAATCAAGAAATCGGCATCGAACATCGAAACTAGAAACCGGAAAGTAGGATAAACTGACAGACATTCTCACCAGGATGGAGTGGATATGTTCTAGTAAAGGAACAAGTAATGCAACCAAGGTCTGCATGTCCTCTCTAAGGTTGTCCCAGTTTTGATCATTTGTGATAAGGAGAGTAATGAATGTTTCATTGTCAGGGACGAGTTTTAGCGCCACCTGTAAATTTCCACATCTAATATTTTATTCTTAATGATTTTAGCTGCAAATTTCATATCAGTTATGTTCTGATATAAATACCTTAAAAGCAGCCGATGAAACCCATCCATGCCATTGCTTCAAAGTAACATTATAGGATTCTTCAACTGCTCGTTCCATTTCCTGCCATGGATCCTTCACCAATCTTTGTAACAAAACTACCATGAAATCCATTGACCTGAAAAGGGAAACAAATCTTTAACTATTGCTTTTCATTAAACAAATCTTTAAGGGTTTTCTTGTGCTTAATTAATTTCCTGGTAAGCCAGAGAATGGCTCTACTGCAGCTGGTAGAATCTCTCGCACTGCCTTCACTGTCTTCTTTTTTCAATATCTCAATCATGTTTGAATACTTTGTCGGATTGGATTCGCAAAGAACCTCCAATCTCTGAAACAGTGGAGAGAAGAGAAACAGCGTTCCATCAATATTGTTCAAGACGCACATTAAATGGAAAACTAAGAAGAAAGATTATTCTACTGTGTATATGCTATGAATTCATTTAAACCTGGATATTTTGATGAATGTCTTGTCGAAGGACAGCCATAGTTGGACCTATCTTGTCTGAACAAAGAAATGTAGAAAAACTGAGTTTTGATGAAATAGATCAAACCCACATGTCGGAAGAAGAAGAAGAAGAAACTGACCGAGAACTTGAAGAATCAAGGTGCAGACATGAAGAAAGGGCTTGGTTGGGATACGAGCAGCATCCAGATCATACTGTGCTGCTTCAACTTTGGGTAAAGTGGACAGCTCTTCAATGGCAGACCTTAACCCCGATCTTTCCTCCATTTTCCTCTTCATTCTGTACCACTTCCTTGATTCTAGCTTACCTTATATAGCTCAAAGCTGACTTTCCTCAATATTTTTTATGGTCTGTCGACAAGAATTTCCTTCAATTGATATACAATTCCATTAAACTAATAAAACTCATTTGTTACCCAGAAGAAAAAAAAAGACTTGTAAACATGCAGCTTCATGAACTTAAAACCTTTATTTTTATTCAAGTTTGTTGTATTTTATTGTTTAAATTGCTCAATATTCAATGTTTCTTATGCAAGAGATTGATGGTGACTTTGCAATTGACCTTAGAGTTATCATCGCACTGTTATTTAATATACTCTTATGATAAATATAAATATATACGCGAGAATATCTAATCAAAGAATATATATATATATATAATCAACTATTTTTTAGTAAAGTTAAAAATTCAAATTTTAATAGCTTGTAAATGAAAATTTTAGACCAAAAGTAGCTTTTTCGTAATAGGTTTTTATAAAATTTGATATGAAATAATTATTAATAAATTAAATATAAGTAATTAAATCATAATATATACATATAACCCTGACATTGGGAATTTGGGATAATTTTTACTTTGTACTGTAGGTAAGGGCTTTGTTTGGTTTCAGAAAAAAAAAGTCTTAATTTAATATCCTTATGGGTAATAAGTAAAGAAAGTTGATAAGCATGAAATATTGATCCAGTCATAAGTGGGTAAAAGAACTACATATGCAAATTTGGGTAATTTGTAGAATTCATCACTAAATTATTAGTGTGTTTCTAAAACTTCAAAAGAATTTAAATTTGTTACGAACGTTAATGAAAATGTTGATTCAAAATTTTTTAGTTTGTATAATAAAAAATAGGATAATGTCAGAAAATGTTTTTAATATTTAAATAAATATTTGTTTTGTTTTTTTTTTAATTTTTGAACATTTTAGTCCTAACGTTTTATTTTAAGGGAAATATCTATAATGTTTGATTAAATAATTATTAAGTCTTTATTTTTTTTAGAGTATTTTGACCCCTTAATGTTTTATTTTAGGGCATAAGAGATTGTATTTTGGATCATTGATCATTTATTGATTAATGATCTTCATCCACGAAGGAACTTTTCTAGGCGTTTTCCCAAAAAATCACTGGTGACCGGTATATTTACCGATTTAATACCGGTCAAACTCTATTTCCCGATCTAACACCCTTTGTAGTAAGACGCCCCCTACAGCGCGCTATACGTTGATTTGGCGCCACGTGGGGTAAGGCGCGCCCCATGTGATGCGCCTTATGCTGACATGGATACACGTGGGTATAGCACAGCCCCTGGGGCGTGCCTTACGCCACGTAGGGTATAGCGCGGGTCAGGGGCCGCGCCTGACCTTTATAATTATATATAGCGCGGGGCAGGTACCGCGCCTTGTATAATTGTTACAACTTTTCTCGGGTATAAATACCCTTCTCCCCCGGGTTAAGTTCCTCACATCTCCTCACATCTCTCCTCTCAACTTATAAATTAATACAATAATTTCGTCAACGAGTCAATAATTCTGACAATTTCTCATATTTTATTCAGAAGTTCGTGCGATTTTTCGTTATAAGGTAATTTTGTGATAAATTTTTTTATTATATTTATTGTTTATTATGATTATTTGAAAAAATATTATACTAATTATTGTCAGTTAATTTCTGTGTTTGTAAAATTAGAAAGCGGGAATATACGTCGAAATAGTTTTGCGGTACAAGTAATAATATAAAATTATATTATTTAAATTATTTATGTTTATGTGTAAAAATTTTATTCTGTTATATTTTTGTTCATATATTATTTATTTAATTAGCATTGTTTCAGTTGTTTTTTTGCAGATATAATATTGTTGCACTTTTAAACTCAAAGAATGGCGCGACTTTCAGCTATTGTTTATTATGATGGTGAAATTTGAGAAGATGAAACCGACATTGTTTTCGTATCAAATGAGCGTGTTAAAATATCATTGAAGAGAAACATAACTCTTGAGGAGCTGATAACGAAGATTTCGAGGAAGATTCATGTTGGAAGTAGTATAAGAATGTCGTCGTTGCAGTACAGATTTTCAACATCATTGTTGCCATTAACTTATACAGCGTTCGAACTTTTGAACAATGATGATGTTGAAATGATGGTTGAAGCTCAAAGTAATTATTCAGACGCCGATATTGAGATGTATGCAAATTTTATTCAAGTGCGTGTCGTTCGGGGTCAATCATTAAGCTCCCACTATGGGATGACTGAACAAGTTGATCAAGTTGACAGCCCGACGACAGTAATGTGTAATGATTTTAATGCCATAATGGGCAGACATTCATCCGCAACTCCTTACGATATGTACCGAGGTGGGTCGACGAACAATCCGTATGGCAACATCACGTCCAGTTCAAGGGGAAGGCATTCATCTGCAAATCCGTTTGACCTTAATATGGAGATGCAATCAATGCAATCATCTGTGCAGTTTCCATTTGACACGATGGCTTCAAGCTCCAAGGGGAGGCATTCGACTGCGAGTTTTTTCGATATGAATATCGATATGCCTTCCAGTTCAAGGGGAAGGCGTGCAAGTAGTAGGTTCTTCGACCTAAATGTGGAGAGCATGGAGGAACCATCATCTCCGCCAGAAGAACCGCTTCGTTAGCCTGGTGCGGATGGTGCTGAGACTGGACTATTCATTCACCCAGAATCACCGCAATTCAACTCCGATGATGATGATGATGTGGATGAAGTTCCAGTAAATGTTACACAAACTGACCCTCCAACACACATGTATGAAGCTGATTATGGTGCAATGTATGAGCCAGAATTTGCGGATATGCCTCATCTCGGTGACTATGGATATTACTCATCAATAAATAATGGTGAGTTATATTTAGGCATGGAGTTTTCAAGCAAAGAAGAAGCGATGATGGCTATAAAAAATTACAATATTCGTAATTATGTTCAATCGAGAGTCGACAGCTCCACGACATAAAAATATGTATGCTATTGTGCCCGAAGCGAAAACAGATGTAATTGGATGGTTCGCGTATCGAAAAGGAAGAGGAAAAACAACATATGAGAACTAACACTATACAGCGGTCCTCACACATGTTGTGCTGGAGGGGTCAACCAAGATCATCCCAACTTGGACTCTGAAGTGATATGCCAAGCCATCATGCCCATGGTAAAAGCAAGCTCTCATATAGTTGTTGCTGTGTTGATTTCAACTATACAATCGCAGTATGGGTACACTGTCTCCTATAAAAAAGCTTGGTTGGCAAATCAAAATGTCATTGTCAAACTTCATGGCGAATGGGATGCATCTTACAATGAACTTCCAGGCTGGTTTAGGCTGGTGCGAAGGTTGAATCCTGGGATAATTGTGGACTTCAAAACCTCATATGCATACCATAATGATCGAGTTCTCCGCGATCGATGCCAATTCTACCGGGTTTTTTGGACTTACCCACAGTGCATTAATGTTGTCAAATACTACAAGCATGTGGTCCAGATCGACGGGACTTTCTTGTATGGAAAATACAAGCAAGTTTTATTATTGGAAGTTGTCCAATATGGCAATCGCAATATTCTTCCAGTTGATTTTGCTCTTGTCGAAGGAGAAGATATAGATTCTTGGGATTTTTCCTCCGAAATTTACGTGCATGTGTTATCACGAGGGAAAACATCTGTGTCATTTCAGATCGCAGAGCTAGGATCAAAGCAGCAATGGAGTCTTTGGGTCCAATGTGGCAACCACCCTTTGTCCAACATAGGTATTGTCTCCAACACATTGCTACGAACTACTATGAAAGGTACAAGAAGAATTATAAGCGTCAATTAATTGTACGCATGGGTAAGTGAAACTGATGTAGTTTGTTTTCTTTCGATCGTTTTAATTTTGCAAAGAAAGCAAGTTAGTAAGTTGCACATTTTTTGATCAGGTTACGAACTACTTCCTCGAACGTTTGAATCAATGCTTCAAGATTTGCGAGCGAATAACAAGGAAGGATACGATTACATCAGCCTCATCGATAAAGAAATGTGGATGAATGCATATGATGGTGGATATCGATATGGACACATGACGACCAACTTGGCAAAGGCAATCAATTCAACTTTAAAGGGTGCACGTCACTTACCAGTAGCGACTTTGGTAAAGATTACATATTTTCGTTTGGGGGCGCTTTTTGCAAAGCTCGGGGGACAAGCTCAAACCTGGATGCAAGGCAGTCATGTCTATCACCCTAGACTAGTTGCAAATCTACATAAATTTTTTTTGCATCAAATAGAATGTCTGTAACAAGCTTCTCTAGAAGGCATGAAATGTTTTGTGTCACAGAGTTACCGCGACCTCTTCAAGGGATTGAAGTTGTGTCGTTAAGAGTAAATCTAAAGGACAGAACGTGCGACTGTGGGTTTTTTCAAGCTCTTAAGTATCCATGCTCTCATGTGATAGCAGCTTGCTCGCATACACGTCAAGACTATAACCATTTTGTGGATCCCGTATACCTACTATCTGAAGTTTTTAAGGTACACGAATTTGAGTTTCCCCCCATAGGTAATGATAAAGACCTGATGAGGTTCAAGATTGGCTTCCGATTGTACCAAATCCGAGTTTATTGAGGGAGTGTGGTCGTCCAAAATCCAATTGAATTAATTACAATATGGATATTTGAGAAAGATCTAGACAAGACAGAAGATGTGAACATTGTAGAAACCCAGGACACACTAGAAAAACATGTCCACTTATGTTGCCATCAAGTAACAATTGATGAGGAAATGATGTATTTGTTTATCAAATAATTCTTGTACTTTAATTTTCATTTACTTCAAGTTAATGTCATTCAATAATCGCTGATGAAGATTAAAAAACGATACAATAATACTAGATTTGACGTTTGCGTTATATGTGATTATAATAAAAGAGATAATAAGTGACAAACTTAAGAAAGTTATAACAATTTGGTATTTCAAAATAATTTTAAATACAACAAACTTACAATAAGTATTAAATGGAAAATGATAATCAAATTGCAATAACTTATATTAAATGGTAATAAACAAAATTAACTGAAATACATTAAAAAAGTTAAACAAATTTAACAAAATAAAGTAAGTATTAAATGAGAAATA